TACGTACGATGGTACCACACACTGACCAACGTTCGTTATTTTGCAGCACTATTGTCTGTTTTTTAATTGATCTTACGATAGTCGAATTAGCCCTGTTGTTCTCCAGACAGCACATCAACTGACGCTCCCGAACTCTCGAGAAGTGCTGTACAAACGAATATTCAATGCTATGAACTACGTCTTTGTACACTCGCAGAATGTCTCCTATCATCGTTATGTGATGCGGTCTCTCTCAAAGGTACTTTTGATGGAAACTCCGTAAAAAACCGAGGATTTACTAGGAAACTCGAAAATTTTGTTCTTGGCGTGTGAGGCGTTTATCGCTGTATTGGAGTTCATGCTTATAATTCTACTTACTCAATTTTGAGCATAAAGCTAGGCTTGTTCTTGAAACGTGCGGTTATTGTTGAAAATGATTAGATTTAAATAAATACTTAATAGCTACTCGTGTTTTCCAGTCTCCCGGGAACCATGCACTTCAAGCCATTTCCGGGAACAACTCCTTAATTACAGGGTCATATCGTCACGCTCTGGGGTATGAAATTAGCCTTCCTTTCATTCTTCAATGAATTGCATATTGATAAAGGAATACTTCAGGTGAGTATTTGCGTGTTTGGAATGACAACAAGAAGAATCCGATGATTTGCCTACTTTCGCCTTGACCTTTACCCATATGGCATGTAAAAAAAAAAAGCATAGATAGCAGCAACATGTCGCCGTGAGGTGAGTCGGTTGAACTTGTAGATCAAGACTGTACATTCACTCAAGTTACATTTGTATTTGATCCACTGAATTAACGCTGATGATGCACTATCCCCTTCACGTTTTCGTTTGGTTCTTTTTTCTTCGTTACTTGCTGAATATCGCCTTTCAATGCTTCTTATTTCAGCATATATATGCTAACTTAGTCGTGAAACTTAGCACAGTAATGGCAAACCGACAGACTTTCATGTAAGCATCATTTGATGTTGATTCGTCTCCTCCGGCACCACGCATTCTCTTATGCGTTCGTTTGTAACTGGGCTAGCATCACATTTAGCAGATAAATCGCACAGTACCAGCTTCTGCCAGATATCTGGTACCAATTAATTGTCCCTTCCCCAAAGGAAAGAAATCAGAAGTTTTCCCGGGGCAAGATTTGCTCCTGCGTTTATTCCTAAACTCGTACTGTGAGCCACATTTTTCACTGTCCGCCTTAGCTGGAATCTATGGCTTGGAAATTCAGGAAACTTTTGGGAGAAAACGATCTTTTTCCCAAGTATTGCGGTTCTTGTAGATTATGATGAAGTTTCGCATGACTGTTTAGAAGAACCCGTCTTAACTGTAGGTTAGAAGGAAATACATGGAAGGTTATCAGAATTGCTGGACAGAAATTTGAATTTAGGGTATTGCATTCATGAAGAGTTATGAGAGAAAACCGAGCATGCCGTCAGGAGTGTTACTACAATATTGGACGATGTTTCATCAGTTGTCTTTAACTCCGTTATCCATTCACTTCTACAATAAGGTGAGCTTGTTCTGTTCAAGGTTGGGTGGGTTTAGAAAACAAGATGGCGTGCAGAGTCGTCGAGAGAAGGCTTGATAGCTATTGTAAGGTCATCAATATGCAAGCAATAGAAATTTGAGAAAGTCTTCCTGGGAGACATGGTTTAACCTATTGTTCTTTGAGTTCCTTCAAGTTTGAGTGGAATTGTTCAGACTGTTGGAACTACTAGTCCCAATTGTTCATGTCTTTCTTTTCCTTTTTTCCATTCTTCCCCTCTGGTAGGCACAGAGAAGGCTCTGTGGTCTTGTGTAGGCTTCTATGGGGCGATTGTTACTCTACAAGCCCGCCCTGTAGTAAAAATCCGTATAGAACGCTAACACCATTGTGTTGCTCGAGGGAAACATGCAATTGTGGAAACCACAAACTGGGACCAGAACAAGGATTGATGCATTTTGTCGTGGTATTATAGTCAGCACTACGGCTTAGAATCTTACCGGATTGCTGGGAACCGGATTGCATGTAGTTAAGAGTAATAGAGTCACTTTGTATTAGGTAAGCAACAATGGCATAACGTGAAGGAACGATCCGGGTCAATCACTTTTTTTGGGCGTGTGCCACGCATTCTATTCCCATAATAAATCCCCGGCCGGTTTGGATGCGATTCGACCAGCGCAGTAGTTTGCGGTAATCAGCCGATGTATGAATGCGTGTTTTCTCTAACTAGACAAGTTTGGGTCAGTTACTCGACCTCGGGGGACGAAGAGCTTGGTTAGTTTGGCGGACCGATTTGCATCCACGAATTCGTGCAGCGTTTGGTTAGCAGCACCCAACTTGCCAACTAACCGCTTCGCTTGACAATAAGCCGTTCTAAAATAACTTACAGCTCTATCGCGACGTCGTTGAGAGTCTGGTCGCAGCTGATAGAATATTTCGATTTATTTTCTTTTCAAGGTCCTCTCCGAGCCACCTCCTCGAGTTTTTTATACAGACGATGAAGGGAATGAAGTTGAAAGACCGAGTGATATGTTGACGGACAACAACGACCCGCGCACGGGATACGCTGTTTACTAACCAACATTCATTCTGGTGGAACTCTGTCGATACCGCTAATGCTGTATTGCTATTAACACGTTGACGACCGTGTGGTATGATGTCATACCACACTCTTTCGGCCACGTGGGACCGTGTGACATGATGTCATGTCACAGTCTTTTTTAAGCTGGTTTTCAAACATTTTAGGTAACTTATTTACGTGATGTATGCGCCATACTTAGGCATTGTTACAAAAGGCGTGGTTCCTGGAAAGAAGCTTCGGTTGATGGGCTATCGAGTTTTTCTAAAAAAAATTGAATAATGAAATACACTATGGAAATCGTTAAATGGCCAAATCGCGTAATGGAGGAATACCCAAGTAAGATGCAAATAACATTTCCTTCGAGTTAAAGGAGTTGCTTGGGGACGTTTGACCGGTTGCAAGTCACAATCGCCGGTTGAAAAAATAATTGGCGCGTAGGTCCACTACGAGACAGAGAAAAAATGCGCGCGTCGTCAACGGTTTAGAGACATTGCTAAGACGAATGCTTAATATTTCGCGTAGACCGAGGACAAAGGCGTAAAGAATAGACCTGCATGAATATCAAGCGCTACGTCTTGTCTGTTCTTTCATACAATTCGATATACCTGAATTTTATTTATTTATTTATTTATTTATTTAATTTATTTATTTGTGCCTTACGCTCAAAGGTGTGCCACAACCCGTGAGAAAAGTCGACAACGATAAAGACCTAAACAAGTTCAGAAGAGAAAAGGAAAAGGATACAGCGAAAAACAATATGGAAGGAAAAAGAACCAAAAAGCGATAAAATAACCTTACTGAACAAAGAACAAATCTCAGAATTAAAGAAGAGACCATGCCAAGCAGTCGCAGAAGTTTTCTGAAGATTGGTCAGGTGGTGGAAAAGGAGCTGGGCAGGAGATACGGAGCACACATAGGCCTAGACCGTTGCTCCGGCACAGTGACACCCCGAAGATGAGCATTACCTTGAAGCAGCTATGATTCCGACGCTTAGAGCCGGAGAGATGGTTTTGATGTTAGCAGGTAATTGAAGCAACATTAGAGGATCCACTCTGAGGTGAGCTGCGTGTTCTTTTGTGGCTTTAAAGGCGGAGGACCATAATTAAAAAAATCATGACTGCCTAGGAGAAAGCTCAGAGATTTCAAAGCGAGAGAGAAGTGTGATTGGGGGTTTTCGAAGTGAAGGTAGGTCAATTTGCTTAGTGCTTAGGGACGGGACGCGCATGAGCGGCGGAGATAGCTACGAAACTGCTATCATAATTCTGTTCCGAGAAGTTTCAGAGGCAGAGAAAAAGTCTGTAGAGGTTCGATGGTTTTGGAGGGACGTTGACTGCTAGTGTTGGGTGGAGCATACGTCTAGTGAGCGGAGTTTGTCACAAGCCTTGCAAGTCATTTCAGACAGTCTAATAACCACGAGAAAAGTGGGTAGAGACTGGTGAAGGAAGGAAGGTTATATGCCAGTGATGGGTAAAACGTGCTCAGAAGTGGGAGAGACTCTCCACCAATCTATGAATCATTTCCGAGCCTGTCTAGAAACCGTGAAAAAGTAGATGGAGGCTGAAGAGGTCGCTCACTTCGAACGGAGTTTTCAAGGCAGGGCCGTAATGGAAATGTGGAAGCTGACTGCCTCTTTCTTCATTGTCAGGTCCCCATATGACGCGTGCGCGTGCGCTGGTACGCACACAATTACAGAATAATCCTTAGAAAACCTCATTAGTTGACCCTGCTTCTTTTCTTTATAATTTTACCACGGCGTAGTAGTTGAATCGAATTTGAGCTGTTTATGTTGTACAAGGTTGAATCTTCGATCCATCATAGCCCAAAAACTACTGGATGGATCGATTCAGTTTTAAGCAGCAGTGACCCGTCCGGAATTTTTCAAAACCCTTTTGCTACAGGTCTTCAAAAGCGTGGATGCAAATTTCATGTTTCAGGTACGATGTGCGGCGATTTGCTGCACACAATCTTGCCCTCATTTACCGCGCTAGCGGTAACGATTACTTAGCCCGAAGGATTTATGAAAAATATCTAGTTGTATGAATCAATGGTACCAATAACTTGTTGTATTATAATGCTTACGATGTAAATTGATCTCTAACGTACATGTTCTTCTTAATTTATTCCCAGTGCTACTCTACCTTTAAGTTTCCATTTGCAACCAAATCCATAATCAACCAAATACCTTCTTTTGACAAAGGCTTGCATACTACTCTCAATTTTGTGCATGTTCATCATGAATTTGAGCCTTCTCTCTTGACTCAAGTTCCAGTTGGTCAAGTGTTGTTCCTTTTTCGCTGGGTCTCTAAAAAACTAAGAACCTCAGCAAAAATACCGCGATCTGCCGCAGGCCGTCTGAACCCGAAGTTTCCTATTAGATTGGCGATCTGCAGCGTAGAGAATTTCGATCCCCTGGGCAGCAATTAGCTATCATTGCTGAAAATGGCCAATGTCATTTTCAACTTTGAAATAATTAGTTGAAACTGCCTCAAACTGACCGTCATTTTTTTGCCTGCAACCAGGTGGGGTACTTACTGCGGCCGCTCATATGCCGTGTCCAATCTATGGCCCCCATCTTTTTGATATGAATGGTAGCGCTCTTGCGCGTAGTTAAAGGCGATTTTGTTGCTTCTGGAAGACTCGAAATGGAGTGGCACTTTTGTTTCCATGCTGTTTTTTTGTGGCTTTCGAAAAGGTCGTTGTTATACTCTATGTCGTCACCTTGTTACTCATGTGCATTTCAGACGCTATCGTAAGACTTGGGGGCATCCTCTAGGACTCAGCCTGGGAGGGAGGAGGAAGTTTTGAGGAAGTGAAGATTGCTAACCCACCTTGGAGTGTCTCTTCCTTGCCTGAGGCTTGGTTCTGTTCTTACAAGAAAAGAGATCTTTCACGTGGTTTTCAATGCACTGCCACTGCAATGCCCCCGCATCTTGCGATAGCTCGTTTGTTCAATTAAATATATGCAGTGATTGGATACGAATAAAAAAGATTTTAAGTGTCTTCTGGGTTTGCTTGTAGAAGAATTGTTTCGTCTTGTATTACTTCTGTTTGCCCGAATGTTGCATAGGTGCTTCATTTTGTGAGCATGTAAACGAATTTTCATGTAGAAATGTTCGTTTTGGCATTGCTTGAGGATACGAATAGCAATCAAACCGCATGAACTAGGAAAAGAACTCGGAGCTGTAAGTCAGGATTTAGTCATGTTCTACTTAGAGGCTCCACGAGCTCGCTATACTTAACGCAGGTCTTTTTCTTTAAGGTTCTAAGGCGTCGTATCAATCAACGTCTTTCGAATAAGGTCGTGCCAGATCTGGGATTGTGTATATGTGTGTACGATCTTCTCGAAGTTGGAGTGACCTATATCCTACCCCGGAGAAGGAAGCGGACACACGGAGAGTTAAAGGCACGTTTGAATTTTGTTTTGGCTTTTATTATTAAACTTTCCGGTATATGGTTAGAATATCGAGTTTTCGAGGTCTGCTTAGGGATTGAAGCGTATTTAAAATGGGGTCTTAGGATTCTCGAGCGTTGTTTGACGGTTGCGCACGTTGTTACATTGGGCGCTGCATCGGAGTTGAATATTTCACGGTGACTTGTAGGGTCAGCCAATGTGAAAGTCAGTGCTCCTATGCTTTCAGACGAGTCGATGCCAACCTACTGACCACGGAACGATGGTGGGCTTGTTTGGCTTTGCTCTGCTCAATTCTGGGCTTGACTCCCGTATTATCCTGGTTGTCATTTGTCTCTACGTGACCCAAGTGAAACTAGTGAATAGTGTAGGAATGATGCTGTTATGAAGCACCATTTATGACACTTTTGAAGCTGAAAATGTACTACTGAAGAACTTAAAAGGAATCAAGGAATTTTCTAATCTGTGTTTTTAGTTGATATTCAATGAAAAGATCTTATTGTTAGAGGCTCACTTGTACTGAAAAACGAAAAGCTGCTCCAGTTCGTGATTTTTTGAGTTTTTTTTTACAGTGTCTTTAGGGTTTTTGTTTGAATAGAATGGATAGATATCAAAATATAGATATTAAAATAAGACAACACTGTAAATCCAAGACAAGGAGGTTAGCTATTTCTTCGCAAGAAGAATTCTTTTATATGCTTTAATTTAAAAATTTACCATTCAGCCGTTGATTGCGCAATAGTTACATGAATAGTATGAATTTTAGTTTCGATTGGTGGTGTTTCGTCCTCATGTTGATGAGGTAATCCAAGCGCGAGTGGTGGCATCGACCAGCGTAGGCCTCACACTTTCAGTGGAGTTTTTTGAAGACATCACAATCCCGGCGGAACGCCTTCCAGAGCCGCATATTTTCGAACAGAGTGAACAGGTAAGAGTTTCAATTACTAAGTAAATATTATACTGTTTTGGAATAGAGGAATCTCCTGACAATCCTTTTTATTGATTTCGTTTTTTTTAATATTCCGTTTGGTAGTTTCTCAGTGGTCTCTTCTTCCGTGATTTATGTTATTATACTGTTTTATAATTTTTTTGTTTTATTAAAATCTAATTATGCATAATATAAAGGAATACAGAGTCTTACCAAGTTTTTGTACAAAATGCAAAAGGATGCCTCATGCTGGAATCGAACCAGCGACCTTCTGTTTACTAGACAGACGCTCTGCCCCTGAGCCAATGAGGCGGTGCACTTTCCTCGCCGCGGTCTCTCATGAAACACCTGCACGGAATCATTCCAATGTGTACATAGTCTTATCGTATACAATCATCGAACATTTTCTTACATAAATTATAACTAATAGTTCAATGAGGGAAACACGTTATCCTTTTTCCTGTTGTTATTATAAGGTTATAAAGTTCAGATCTGGTATTGGGAATATCCATCAGAAGACGGAGAGCCTCCTGCTAAACTATATTTGGATCCTGGTAAGATTGTGCGATTTCGGGTGGTGGAGAATATTTTCAGGTAAGCGCTGCGGTATTATCTTATTTGTTCATTTATTTTGAATATTTAATTAATTATTTATAGTAAATCGCCAGCTAACGTATGCTAGAATAACTTGTTTTATTAACAGTCACAGTAGAAAGTAGAAGTTTTGATGCTGCTATTGTTGACAGTCGCAAGAGCAATTTAGTTAATTTTGTAAAATCCAGCTTTTTCATGGTTTGATGAATTTTACGAAGTTCTAAATTTTTTTTCTATAGAATTAGTTGCGGCTATGGGACGCTTTTTAGGGCGACAACATCTATAATGTTGAGTACTTTTTGCAATACATATTTGCAGTATTACCGCTATTCAATTGCCTTACTGTTGAAATTTTTTCCATTTGTTCGAATTCGTTTCATGTACTACTGGATATTTTGATTGAGCGATGATTTATTTGCTTATATGTTCACAAACTCTGGCTTGGTTTTTAGAGCAAAGGAAAATAGGAAAGGGTTTTGGAAGAAATTTTGCGTCCGTCTCATTTAAGTCTGTAGGTGAAATATTTTTTATTGCGAAGGTCACAGAGGTTCCAATTTTAGAGACGTTAAACCAAATTTAACGCAAGAAGAGGCGCAAAAAGAGAAATCATATGAAATCATTGGCACAATGGCTGAGACAGGGCTTGGATGCGTTGCTTGGTGGTCAACGGCAGGTGAAGATGGTGCCGAAGAAGGAGACGATATGGATGAGGAGTAAGCGCGAGATTGTTTGAAGTTTACGAGCCATTTAAAACTTTTTGGTTGATTTACTTGTTTGGATTTCCATCCATGTATCTGTGATATGAACTTTTTTGTTCGATTTTGATCTTCTGGCGTTTTGTTCAGTCATTGTTTATCAGTTTTCGTTTTTCATTGTTATCATTACATTTGTTGTGCTTGTTATGCCAATGTTTAGTTTCTGGTATTTACTTTTTAAATTTTCATACATGATTTGATTTTTTGCAAATTATTAATTTTTTTGGAAGGCTTATACTTTTGAAATTACAGTACGTTACAGGTATGACAGGTAACAGTTTTCTGAAATAGTATGCGATGTGGTTATGATTTGATAGAATGAAAATTGTTTCAAAGTTTCGATCGTGAATTAATTGGTCAACATCAAAATTATGAATACTATGGCACTAACGATAAGTCAAACATATGTGAAAACAATTGCAGAGAACACTGAAAGCTACGTGTGATATAGCTATTTCAGGCTTCGATTTATTTATTTTTTGATTTTTCCAAAGATTCGAGGTGCCATGCAATAGGTTGCACTCTTCAAATTGTGCGACGTTTTATCAGGACGACCAGTGAGACATCAGACTTATGGGTTGAACTGTAACGCCGGGTTCCATTGGTTCATCGATCGTAAATAGCGCTTTTTCACTGGTTTTGAGTTTTTTTGGCTAATTCCAATGCTCTTCTGATGGAAGATAGTCGCGGTATTAGTAACTGGAGATATAAAAATTGCACATTTTTGAACCAATTTATTTTCAGCCCTTATTGTTAGCCCTTAGTAGACTACTTTGTAGTGGAAGTTTTAAGGGTAATAAACTTGGTAAACTCCGCAAAAGTTTGGTGAAAGTTAGGACCCCGAGATTCTTCTTGCAACTGCGTGGTCCCTTATAGGCCAAGTTTGGGGCTCAGCTATTTGGCCTTTCTGTTTTCCTCTCTATATATGATTGCTTTCATTATATATCAATATTTATGCACTCTGCTGTTTTTTTTTTCGAACTTGCACTGGTTTCCTGAATTTGAAAGAGACATAAACGATTAAATCAGTTGTTGCAGTCCCTTCCGTTTCCACCTTACTGCCTTACGGTCCCGCTACTTAATGGGGCCGCCTGAACGCGTGTAAAGAGAGACCAGGTCCACAGAGCATGCAGCCATGAACCACAGGCAACCACGCACGCCCACATTCAAGATCTCTTGCTCCCTGCTCAGCTCTTCCTTGTCCACCTGCGTTTGTCTGATCTCGCTACCTAATTAGTTTCAGATTGTATCTTTAGGACCATCACTGCCACAAAAAGAAGGCTTTTGAGACGTGTATAATCTTCATCGTCCAGCGGGAATATCTCACTTTTCCAATTCTCACTTACTTTTTCAAATATATGTTGAACACACCGTTTGCGCCCGTTTCTCATATCGAAATCTTGGAGGATGGTCATCTAAGGCAGCGTTCAGAGTCAGCGATCGGACAGGCGACTAAGCGATAAGGTGATGATCCAAAAAGGAAGTATATGTATCGATTAAGGCGATTAGGCGAGTAAACAAGTAGGCGATAAGAGATGGATACGTACTGACTTGTTGCCGCCCATTAGGCTATCGCGATTGCCTAATCGATACTATCTCTTTCTTTATAGACTAATCGCCTAATCGCATGATCGCTGTACGATCGCCAACTCTGGACGCTGCCTTGGGCTTTTCTGCACTTCATTTCGGGAATTCGTGTGTCCACAAATAACTCATTAGGCATATAAATTTATTCACGTTTTGTTACCTTTGTAGTAGCGTGTGTTCTCGACCTGGTCAATTGTTTCTTCTTTCGCTGTTGTGTCGATTTCCTGTTCGTCGCTTGTAATCCGACCAATCTCCCTCTCCGTCGAGTTGATTTCCCTCGAAATTTCTTCGGCACATTCCTGTTCCTCACGTAAGGGATGGGCTCGTATTGCACTACTGAGGGCTTCTGGATGAGTCCTTTTAGCAGTGGGGGCTTTCCTATTTACGATCTTCACTTGTCTCGGTTCTGATGTTTTCTGGCTAGCGACGTTCTGCTCGCGCGACCACGTTCTTTGTGGCTCTTGTTTCTCTTCCGGGGCAGGGTCATCTCCGTATGGATCCACCACAGGTTGGTTGGTCTCCTCTTTGTGAGTGATGCTTAGCTTGACAAAGGGTCGAGGTGTGGAGGGACTGGAGGATGGTTTGGGCGCTTCTGTTGTTGTAGAAGCTGTCCATTGTGGTAGTCTGACGTGTAGGGATGGGGTATCCTTCAGTAGGGCTGTGGGAAATTGGGTTCGGAGTTGTGGATTCTGCTCGTTCTTCCTTGGGGCTTTTCCCCGTAGGGTACTCGGTAGGAGTTGTGGTTGCAGCTTTAGTTGTAGTAGTCTGAGTAGCGGTGGCCAAAGAATTGCAAGCTGGTTCAGCTCTGGTTGTAGCCGTTGATGTTCTGGGAGCGGAGGAGGTTGTATGAGTGGGTGGAGGCTTTGGGGTTGTGCTTGGAGGAACGTAGGTTGTCGTAGTCTTCAAAGAAGTAGTTGCGGATGTGCTGCCTGCCGTTGCCCTGGTTGTAGACGTTGTGGTCCTAGAAGCAGGCGGTGGGGTTGTAGATGTGGTAGTGGTCGTCAGAAGTGGAGTGGTTGTGGTCGGCGATTCAGTTGTCGGACGTGAAGAAGAGGTAGTCAACGAGATTGTCGCCGTTACGGTAGGGACAAGGTAAGGCGTAGGGGTCGCTGGTGGGTAAGTCGCCACTTCAAGCGGTATTCCAGGATTAGGAAATACGTATGCTCCAACTGGAGGAATGATTGGATTCTCCTTCTCTTTCGCCAAGTTCTGGCCTATTGCGTTTGTGGGAGGGTTAGGTAGTGCGTACGTTCCGTCTGGAGGCTTGGATAAATCCTCTTCAGCCGCCTTGGAGCTCGTGGGTGCTGGTGGTTCTGGAGAAACAGGTAATGGGTATCCTTCGGAGGGGAATGTGAGCGTTTCCTTCTTCAGTGGTTCGGTAACCTTCACGTCGCTGATCAAGAGGTCATCATCTGGTGAAGCTTTCTTGCTGACGACTGGTGGCAAGGGCTTATTCTTCGATGTAAGTGCCTTGTAGTGGTCAATGATGTACTGGTCGCAGAGCAAATGTGTCATCCGGATGTTGCTCTCTGGAAGCGTCCAACTTCCATTTTTGCAGTGTATCTGAAAACAGTTCCGCTTACTCAAAAAAGCTTCGAACTTAAACTCAAATTTGCTCCGAGGGATCAAAATCTTGAAAGTGGAACAAGCAGAATGTAGTAAGTTGGCCGAAAAACTTTGTCATTCCAACTCCTATCGTAAATATTTTCAAATTGAAGCGACAAGGGAGTGAAAGGAGTGCGCCATCCCTGTCTACTACTTACACCAACCCCCGCCCAGATCGTTTTGTCTTCATAGAAGGATGAGAAGAAGTTTGAAAGAATAAGGATAAGGATAAAGCATTTGCCGTTGATCAATCCCTTTTTGGGATGCGGCACGCATTCTACTTCCATTTGTACATTCGTAGTGGCGTTTGAATGCGATGTGGCCTATACAATGACTTGCGGGGCCAGCCGATGTACAAGTCAGTGTTTTTATCCTCCCAGACAAGTCTGGTACCAATTAACCGACCCCGGAGGGATGGAAGGCTTGGTTGGCCCGGGCGACTCACGACCCAGGATTTGATCCCCGGACCGCTCGCGTGGTGAAGCGTGCCACTTGTCACTACACCACTTCCGCCCTTAAAGTTTGAAAAAGTAGTCGAATATCCTCTGGACTGATTATCCGTCTCAGCCTTCTCGTTTAGAAGCGCTGGAGTACGATTAGGCAGTAATTGGGCAGGACTATAGGGCCTGAGAGGACCCCAGCCGGCCACACTTTTCTGGCTCAACCTGGTTCGTCCAGCCGTATGGTGTGAGGTTCTAGTAGAGGTTGGAGGTCACTTCCAGTTTAGCCATATGACTGTCACCAAGGTGAGCCGATGATTTCTCAGGCCTATTCCTACAGTCCTGATCCTGTCCTCCCTTATTGCTGCCTCTTCAGCAGCCTCTAGCACTTCCTGAACAGCGAACCAAGTTAGAGATGAAGAATCCCCTCTCGAAAAGACATTAGGCTGCTATATTAGGTCTCTGCCCCAGTACTCTTAGAAATATGGAGTCAGGGTGCCCTGTTGGGTAGATGGTGGTCAAGGATCGTGCACCCGTCCGACTCCCGGGTCTGCTCGTGGCGCGGCGAACAGCAAAATCATAAAGGCAGAGAGACGGTCTAGTGTTCAATTGGGAAGACGGAACTTTGTATGGAAGAGGCGGATATGGTTCTCACACCAGTACAACTGCTACAAACGCTAGAAATTTTCCCGACTGTAGTATCACTTCCACAATTTCTTGAGCTAGACGTTCTCGATACCCGGAATCTATTTTTAATTAGCATGGTTTGAAAGTCCAGATCGTTGAAGGAAAACATTGGGTATCATACAGCAGGGTGACCTTGTTTGAACACCCGTAGCGATCCTTCTCAAAGGTGAAGGATAAGGATAAAGCATTTGGGAGGATCAATTCTGTTTTTTGATGCTATTCAGAACCATAGTGAAAGTTTGAATGCGATTTGTTCCATAAAATGGCTTGGGAAGGCTAGTCGATGTTCAAGTCAGTGTTATTATCTTCCCAGACAAGCCTGGTACTACTCACCCAAC